AAACGAATAAGAAAGCTTGGAGGCACGGCATACACCTTGATGTCAAATAAAATAAATAAATTACACAAAGTTTACATAAAGTAAAAATCAGCAAACACTGTGGAACCAATTTAATAAGAAACTACTTTTTTTTTTAAAAACTTCCAAAAATCAAAACGGCGGTGGGGGTCGGTGCCGCGGTGGGCAAGTGAGGTAACCAGTGTTGCGGCTTAACAACGGTATCACAGTCAGCACCGTCTATCGCGGCAAGCCTACTTCTTACACAGAATAAGGCACGCAACATATTTCATAGTATTCTAAGCAGTGATAAAAGTTATGTCGATTAGCATTCGGATGGAGATTTACTGCTGATCACAGAACCGTGCTTCACTGAAAGATACGCATGACAATCACAGCTTCTGTCTAATCATGATTTATCGTCTTTGCGATTTAATTTCGATTAATTGTGCAGCCCTATTCAGTTATGTGCATTTTTTTTTTTTTTATATTACTATTTAGGTTTAAAATCTTCTTATTTCTGTTTTAGTTAAGTTTTTGTTTTTCAGTTAGTAATTTTAATGCTTCAACTTCAACTTTCAATTTCTAATTTTCATTTTAAGTTTTCCACCTAATATTTATTTTTAGAAGCTTGATTTCAAATGACAGAAATGTTTTTAATAATTTGGGCTGGGTGGAGTACCTTGCCGTGCGTGTTGAGTGCAGACAGCGCTGCGTCCAGCATGCAGCGCCGCACCTCTGCGTGTCTGTCGTTCAGAGCATCCGGCACAAAGAACAGGAAGAGGGGCGTCACCTGACTCTCATCCAGGAACTCAGCCAGTTTGTTGAGCGCCAGAGCAATGCCACACCTGCACACAGGAAACACATCACTCTCAAGCTCTATCCATGGAGGAAACTGATAGATTGTTCAACTCATGCCACGATCAGCTAAACAAGTAAACTTTTTCTTGTTATAATAGTTAAATGTTTTAAGGATAAAAATAAAACAGCCAGCTGAAACGTAATAAAAACTAAAAAGTAGTTCTGTTTAATAAATTAATGAATTAATAAAAATAAACACAAAATAAAATAATAAAAATAAATATTTTTATAATAACTTTTTAATAATTCTGACATTTAATCTTTCTGACAAAAGATAATAATCATAAATAAAAACTAAAAATTAAACTAAACTAAAAAATAAAAGAGAAATAACTATAATTTCTGTAATAACTCTGATATTGCCTGATTAAACTGAATTAAATTGAAATCACAAAAAGAACAAATAAAACAAGAGACAAATTTTCTAAACAAACATTATTTTATAACTCATTTCCACAGATGCTGTCCAAAGACATCAAAAATGAATAATTAAATAAATGAAAACTAAATAAAAACTAAAAATGAAGACTAAAATGAAGCCAAAAACAAAAACCTACATACAATAGCAAAATTTTCTAAGTAACTATAATTTTTATAACAACTCTGGCATTGCCACAGATTGTGTCCAAAGATATCATAAATGAATGAATAAATAAATGGAAACTATAAATGAAATAAAAAACAACAACAAAAAAAAATCAGACACCGAAATCCAAAACAGAAAACTAAAAATGAAAAATTTTCTAAATAACTATAATTTTTATTAACTCTGACATTGCCACAGACATTACCGCGGGAAGTAGGGGTGCTGAGGGTGCTGCAGCACCCCCTGGCGTATAGCCCAAGAAAAAATGGGGGGGCTGGGGGTGCGGTGTTAAAAATAAATAAATGAAAATTTTGTAACAAAAAAGAAAACTAATTTTATTAATTTGTATATTCATTAAAATTCATAGAAAAAAATTGCCTAAGCCTACAGTGACAATAAGCAACAGTAAAACATGAATTAAGTTTAATCAAATTGATTGTGAAAGTCATTTCAACTTAAACTGACTTAGGAAGTCGTTTGTTGCCATGACTTTTTGATCATATTATTACTTGTATCTGTGCCGGACCCAAATCAAGAATTATGACCATTTCTACAGCCATTGCGAAGATACAGCAGAGAAAGATCGAGAGCGTCTATTACCTCAGCAGCAACCAATAATAATAACAATCTCGCATTCTCGCCTCTACAGCGCTTATTTTGATACTTAACGTTAGATCTTTCATATTCTTGGAACAAAATTAATGCTTAAGGTTGATTCAGTATTACTCTTAATGAAAAAAAAAATAATCCCACACACAACATAAGCAATACTACAATGACAATAGCTTATATTAAACATAAAACTTTTATTAACAGAACGAATAAGACATACCCGTGTTGTAACAAATAAATAAAAGGTTTTTGGATTTTCCCCTTACTTCAAACAAATGCTTAGTTTGTGGCTCATTATTATTATTAATAATAATACAAAAGGCTATAGCCTACAATAAAACAGTATGATGACAAATTTACTTATATTAAACTTTGAACTTTTATTAACAATATGAATATGGAAAATATGTTTTACCCGCATTGTAACACATTGTCTTTGGATTCCCCCTTTTTTTTTTTTAAAACGATCATAGTTTGTGGTTCATTATTAGCCTATTAATTAAAACACATCAGCCATAAAATAGTACAATGGCAAATTCGCATAGGCCTTCATTAAACATCTAACTTTTATTAACAAAATGAATAAGACGGATATAGTCTACTTGCGTTGTAACCCAAATAAATAAGGTATTTTCCCTCTTTTAAAACAAATGCTTAGTTTGTGGTTCATTGTTTATTCATTTATTTTTAATGAAAACAGCAACAATAAAGACAAACTCGCTTATATTAAACGAAGAAATTTAACTTTTATTAACAAAAGGTGCACTTAACACCCCCCACCCCCCACCAGGTTTTATTTCTCAGCCCCCCCTGCCCAAAATACGTTCCCGCGGCTATGGCCACAGATGTCGCCCAAAGACATAAATAAATGAATGAATGAAAACTAAAAATGAAAAATAAACTCAAAAACATAAAACGCAATAAAAAAACTTTCTAAGTAACTTTAGTTTCTGTAATAACTTATGGAATCATCGGAAACGTTCTCTCACCTGGCCTCCCATTGGTCAGGAGGAGCTTCAGAAATTACGCGTCCCAGAGCGTCCAGAACCGGAGGAGGTCTCTGAACACACAGACATAAATCAAAGCCGTCCCATTCACTCATGCAAACCACAATCCACAACGATTCGCCTTCACAATGATGGCCATTAAATTTTAAATAGCAGGTCAATGAATTAAAAATGACCGCCTGAGTGATTTATGACAGTTAACACAACGGCATTAATTTCACAGATTAAACTCAGTCGTCATTCTCTCACGTAGAGTTTCTGATGGTAGAGCTCCGTGAGTTGGGTCAGGACGGTGGCCGACTGCTCGCGGTACTGGCTGACGGCGCTGGACAGAGCCTCGGCCCCCGCCGAACGCACCGCCTCCTCGTGGTGGATCACGTCTTCAATCAGGAGCGCACAGAGTTCAGGGACCAGATCCAGACACAGAGCCTGCCAGAGTCTGAGACCAGATGCACTGCATGAGCAACTATAACTATCTCAACTATAAAGGTTCAGTTATTTTATTTATACAAATGCATAATTATCAATTATTTTAGCAGGTGAAATCATTTATTTATATTTCATTTTATTTTGACATGCATATTCACTTTAGAAACGTCAATTTTAGCTGCTGAAATAATATATATATATATATATATATAT